AACCCATGAATCAGAAGAATTTCAGGAGTTAGGCCCAAGACAGGGTTGGGCTGGATTTCTTGTCAACCTGATTCAACTTTCAATTTTGTTGAATATTGAAATAGCATCTGCGTGGACCAAAAAGGAAACAATCGGGGCATTGGTGTAGGTCTAACGACATTGGGCGAAAAGAATACTTGACAGGAGAAGAGAACCAACATATTTTTGGCACGCCCAGTGGGACTTTCACTCATGTATGGTGAGAAGGACCAGAAGGAAAGTCTATATGGCAGAGTCCATGCAAGCCACTGACGAAAGAAACAAAGGGATCGTGGAAACGGAGTCAATAGAATCTTCCACGGAATATCCCTTTGAACGACTGGAAAAAGCCATGAGAGAAGGTTTTCAGATGATGACCACTTCTATGACCAATTCCATGAATTATATGTCCCAGAGCATCGTCCAGACTGTTGAAAAAGGACATGCGAACACAACGCTACAAGGAAACGAGACTAGGGCTCAACTGAGCCAAATCTTCGAGCGGATCATACGGATGGCCCAGGAAGAGGACGCGCCCAGGAAAGAAAAAGGGCTCCTCGAAAATGAGAATATCTCCTCAGGAGTTCCAAAATATTCTCTGGGCCAGGCAAGCGGCCATGCCAATTCAACGTCTCCCAAAATGGTAATAGGAAGCTCTTGTGGAACACCTTTCCAAGTTGCTAATGCAGGCACTTCAGACATGGCGCTCGCCGGTCCAATCGCTACGTAGGTGAGCAGTCCATCTAAGGAACTGGGAAGTCAGCGGTTCACACCTTCTGGAACCTCTTCCAAATATCAAGCACCAAGGACCGGCGAAGCCGCCTTACCCCCAGGACCCGTTCGAAAGAATTTGTACGCCGAGAAATGGAGAGAACCTGCAGGTTTCAACGTCCACATTGCCCACAACAACGGTAATAACGGGGGTAATGGACGAGCTAGGCGGGATTATGCAAGGACAGCCGAGCAATCTCAAGATTCTGACGACGAGGACGAGGCAGGTCAGAACCCTCAGGCCCCTATCGAACCACCTCTGGCACTCCATCCGGACGAGGCCATACGAAACGAGATAGAGGGACTAAGGCAGCTTGTTTAGAATGGTCAAGCTGGGATCAGGAGACCAGCCCGACCCACGTACCAGAAGCCATATCCTGCATACATCGATGATTTACCCTTCCCAAGGGGATTCAAGGTGCCAAATTTCAGCTTGTTCAACAGAGAAGATTTGTACGCATCGGCATTGGAACACATTGGGCGCTTCTCGGCCCAATGCGTGGCTATTGAAACCCAGCCTCTTCTGAAACTGAGATTGTTCGGAAGCTCCCTCTCAGGCCAAGCATTCACATGGTACTCAAATCTAAGCCCGAATTCTATCACAGGGTGGGCGGAAATGGAAGGAGCCTTCATGGAGCAATATTATCGGCCCGAACCCGAGGTCACCATCAATGACCTGACTGATATGAAACAGGGAGAACACGAAACGGTACAAGATTTCATCGCCCGTTTTAAGAAGCTCAAAATGAAATGCAAAATCCCCATGGACGAAAAACACGTCATCAAGATGGCCCAGAATGCTCTCAGGCTACCCCTTCGAAAGAAATTCGACAATCAGGAGTTCCTGGACTTGCAAGACGTGGCTCAACGAGCTGGGAAATATGAACTGTTGCTCCAGGAAGAAGCGCAAAGAAGGAACAGTTCTAAACCCGTCTATTTCAAAAACCCAGTCCATCATCTGGAAGTCATCAACGAGTTTGCTGAAACCAGCGAGGAGAACATTGCTCCGGAAGTATCGCTCGCAGAGATTGTTCAGATAAAAAATCCAATCACCTACAAGGCAGTGATGAGACCTGGAAAGGAACAGCGGAGTAACCCTCCACCGACCGGAGGTTTCGTGCCCTACAAGCAAAAACATAAATCATATTCCTTCGATCTCTCCAAGGTGGAAAACATCTTTGATGAGCTGCTCAGAGGGAAGGTGATCAAATTGGACGAGAAACACGTTTTCCCAAAACAAGAAGAAGTGAAGGGCAAAATGTTTTGTAAGTGGCATAATTCCTTTTCTCATGCTATTAACAATTGTGTTCAGTTTAGGGATGCTATTCAGGATCTCATCAACGAGGGTAAGATCCTCCTGGACAAACCAGCCACTATGAGAGTCGACAACGAGCCATTTC